ACAAACGACTTAGATTGTATGAAATATCTTAGATATCAGATTTCCTGACTACCAAACATCTCAAAACTCAAAACCACGCTATTTGCGTCGTTTCGTAGCCCCGGAAGCAGCGAACGCCGTAAATACCTATGTTTTTTGACACTCAGGTGCTCAAAACCACGGTATTTACGATGTTTTGTTCAAACAACGCGGTATTTGCGCTGTCTTTTGCACACGCGCCTGCGAACACATCGGTATTTACAGTGCTTGGGCTACATTGTCATTTAGTTTTGTTCAGGTAACAATTTGCAAAAACACTGTAATTTACACTCTTTTGGGCCTTGCCGCACACAGCACAAACATTCAAAAACAGTCCCAAAACCACCCACCTTCTGTGCCTTTCCCGATCTGCGATTTTTGGTCGATTTTGTACACATTTTTACATAGTGGTCCCGCGCGCGCGTGCGCGCGGCTAAAATCCGGCGATGCCGTGCCGTTAGATAGACAAGCCTAGCTTGCTATCCCGGGTGGCGCCCCTGAAGCCCGCCCTTGTTTTTTACAGTGTTTTTTTGCATGTGGCTCGAAAAAACGATGTTTTCGCCTGCATTTCGGGGCGTTTTTGGAAGTTGAGCGATTCCAAAATCGGGTTTCAGGAAAATCCAAAAAATCATTGAATTGCATGGGCATGAGGCGTTTTCCGGGGACATCGGAAAGGGTAAAAAAATGCAAGATTGGGGTTCCTTGTTTTCCACACCAGGTACAGGGGGGTGAGCAGGGGGGAGTCGAACCCGGGACCTTGGACACCGCCTGGACCACGAAAAAAATGACGGTCACCACTCCATTTCAAACATGACCAATGTCCAAAATTTGTCAACAATTTGTCAATTTTTCGCAAAGCGCTGGTTGAGTGCCAAGCCCCAGCTATACCCGAACTATTCTCAGGAACACGCCGTCCCCGTTGCGCTCACGCTCACGTTCTCGGTGCTAGAACGGGGTCAGCGGATTTGGTTGCCGTTTTCTTGTATGTCCACCCGCCGCCCCCGCCCCCCCAAAAAAGGAACTTTGTCAGCCTGAGGCTTCTTGCAAGTGCCCGGTGGCTTCAACGCGATCGATGGTCAGGACAGGAGTTGGTGTCGACCTGTCGAAGCGGACATGTTGATTCAAATGCCCTTGATGAACCAGCAAGAGGGAATGATTAGTAAGAGTCACCATGGGCCCTACAGGTCCCTTGAACTGTAACCAAGTACCACTGTGGTAACACCCAAATGCATTCTACGATTCTTTTTGACGAAGTGAGAACCTGATCCCACTGGTGCGGGTATAGTTTTTTTGCCAGACTGGTGGTCAAGCCCAAGGCCAGGCATAATACGAGTTGTGCCTGCACAAGCAAACTCAGCAAAACCGCGCATTGAGTCGGAAGTTGCACACAAAACCGCAAACCCATGGGTGTAGCTGGACATCTAACCGTGTTGCTCCTTGCGCCGCTTGGGTGACTTGGGCTCCGCCGGCGGGACCGTCCGAGCGCGTCGCCAGGACCAGCTTCTCGCCTTCTTGGACCCTCCGGTCCGGGAAGGCGCCGGGCAGGTGGTGCCTGGGCCGCACGGAGGGTCCGGGGGCGTTGGGCGAAAGAGAAGACCGGACACTGTGCGCATTCTGCGCCCAGTGTTTTTTGTCCCCGAAATCGTTGGTGAAGACGATGGATCTTCTCTCAAAACTCAAAACTCCAGGTCCAAGTTGCTGTTTGTATAAGCCTCCAAGGCATTTGAAGATGAAATCAATGAAATTCACAGGTTTTTTTTTGCGACTATATACAAGTGTAAGTGTTGGGTTAGCGTGACTTTCCAACAGGTGGTGTTGACTGTTGACACGTGTTTCGATTTGTTTCCAGAGGTTCAGGTTTCGGGTGGTGTTTTGGCTGCTTGCTGATGTGAAACCTCACACATCTCCCATTCAGCTTCTTCGCGGGGTAAGCCTGAATGAATGAAAGTGCACACGCGTCGCAAGCCGAAACATCACAGGAACTGCAAACTCCATTGCCTCACCGAGATCACAACAAACCAAAGCAGACTCCATCACTGGAGACGCACGCCAGAAGATCAAATACCAAGTACCAAAACAGGTAACAGGCAGAGTCCTATACCAGGAACCAAAGGCACTGCACGCACAGACCCCTCGACCTGTACTGTGCATGTCAACCTGGACGCAGGTGTCAAAGGGGGTTCAGCACCTTACAGTGACCCAGCCAGCAAAGCTACTCTGGATCGTCTGCAAATTTTCAGAGCTCGATATGAGGAAGCAGGGCTGGTTTTCATGTTTTACTGTTCAAACATGTTCAATTTAGCAGCATGCAAATTGACTGGTGGTAAGACTGTTTGCTTCAGAGGGCCCAAGATAAGTTTGACTGTTGGGAGAGGAGAGCAATCAGGTTTCCCTCAAGCTCACTGCCAGACTACCCCTTTTTTAGACCTAGAAGTGGACACAATGGACTTTGTGTTGGAAGCGTTCCAATTCCTTCCACTTCCACGAGGGAGGATACATCATAACGCCTTCGTAGCCAGAACTGTTCGGGCTTGGAAAATGAGGCGCGCGTTGGCCCTTTGGTGGATGCTGGGCTCATGGCAATGTACCTTGGTCGGATTGTGTGTCCAGCGGCACCGTATGTGTGTCCACTCCACAGCGCCTTGGGGGCTCAGTGGATGAGCAAAACACCGTCAAACACCTCAAGAGGGGCGGAGGTCATGGATCAGCGTTTTCAGGTGTTGCGTTGATATTATTCAGTTTGTGCATGCACAGCGGGAAGCAACCAGCAAAGCTGCAACCTACTGCCATGGGATTGGTTGCGGTGGGGAGTGTAGGTCATGATGAGTCAAAAACATGATAATGTTGGATGCTGCTGACGAATAAATCGCCCTATATATCCAGGAGAGTATCCAGGAGTTATTTTTGGGTCTATTTTGGGGTACCCAAGTTATGCCCTGTTTGATTCAATTTTGTTTTTGGGTTCCTGTTGAGTTCCCTGCAATTTCCATTTGATTCCTTGTTCATTTACCTTTCAATTCAATTCTTTGGATTTATTATAACTAATCATTGATTCCTCTTCACATTCCTTTTGATTCCTGAAAAAGGACCCATGGTATAGCCGGAAGCTTCCACCCAAGTGGAAGCAAATGGTTGTGTTGTAACAGACTGGAGCTTCGTTTGTTTCATTCTTGGTGTGCTTGGACCCTTGCACCTCCGGTGCCGTTTTTCAACGGCCGACATGTCTTCGGCTTCTATGTCTTGGTGTGGGCAGCTCTATTGATCCTACCTCAAAACAAGTATCAAAGACAGACACTCACAGACCTGTAATCTATCATGGTTTCCCGAACCTTTGATGGGCGTGCACTGGTGCATGGCCAACCCTTTCTTTGTCTTCATGCGCTGCGTCAGGTGTTTTCTGGCGATCGGTGTGCTCGCTTGTGACCAGAAGAAGTCAACCCGATGACGGAGAGAACAGCGACCGTTCTGCGCAGAAAGGTGGTGACCCACAGTGAGCAAGTTAAGAGAGTGTATGTGTTAGACACATCATGGCCCCCTTTATCGCCAAGGCACCTTGCATGTTGATCCTGGAGAGGAACAGGGCCTAATGGAAGCAGAGCTGATTGAAGCCTTGGGGAAAAAAAGACTCATAGGGTGACCAAAGCAGTTGAATCTCACTCTCGTAGCCGCTGCAGCCCTTGGTATTGTGCGGAATTAAGGAGCAGGAAAAAAAAAACAGGGGTGAACGGGATTGGTTGGCCAATTTGCCAACCTCATGTTGGAACTCACAGTGCTTGGCACTTGAATGGATCTCGCGCCACTTCTCGCGCTGCTTCTGGCGGAGATGGGTGTAGAGATTCGAAAGATCCATGCCATCAGGTTCCATGTGGGTCTCTTCCCAGGTGTACCCATGCATGCGACAGACTGATCAATGTTTAAACCGAAAAAAACACATGCAGGTTCCCTCAACTCGACCAGTGCTTAGTAATGCATCAACCTTCTCCACTTGTTCATAGACTCATCTCATTCTCCAGCAGATCTTCCCTCCGAATACCAGGGGCCTTGCCCGCCTGGAGCGACGAGCGAAACGCGCGCGCACGAGTCGGCGCGCACACTGGGCCGACCGGAGCGACGAGTTGGAGATGAAAGACCGCCACGCGACGGGCGCATCGATTTCCATTCCTGGCACGGGTTCGATTGAAGCAATTCCTTCAGAACAAGAACGTTGACATGCGAATGCATGTTTTAACATCCAAAGCACAGGTATATAGTATGTAGTTACTTGATCAGCTGAGATTTGTTGGAGGCATAAAGGCATTGCCTCTGATGAATGTGTTGGTCACCGAATTCCAAGGAGACCAAGCCCACCGAAACATCATCCAAGTATAGCACCCAATGGCTTCAACTGGTGATTGAAGACATGCCAGACTTTCACCCAAACTGGGGTGCAAATGCTCACATGGGAGTTTGTTTGTTGTTTAGGTTCTATGTGAGCCGTTGGAGACTGATGGTAAGGCTCAACAGAACTCTGAACAGATCATGCATCAATACGGGGCGTTTCGCATGTGTTTTTTCAGCATTCCGTCATCGCCCTGGAGTGGAGTCTGCCGGTGGGGACGTCTCACGGGTGAACAGAGGAATGCATTGGAAGTTTAGTGATTTATGATGTATGCATACGTGATCATACATAAGGTGTGTCCGAGGGTGTCCCATCAACCAGTAACAGTGGCTAAACGATTATCACTGCACCATGCGCTGGCCCCTGGTTGTGGGATATGATATAATGCTCTAATCATACATGCAAAACTGTTCAGGGCACAGGGTCTTTCGGCTCGCATCCTTTGGCTCAGGCTGTAAACACAGGGTGCTCAAGAATCCATGGCAGAACAGCCGAAAGCGCACAGAACAGCCTTTTTGAAGCGAAGAGATGCTCCCAAAACAGCACCATCAAGCCTTCTGTACGTACCGACGTACAGCGTACAGCCTCAGAAAACTTTACAAAACCCCTCCAAGGCCACAGAGTTGTGCGCCCGTCCGGTCCCTGCTGAATCAGCATTCCGTGTTTCGTGCCATGGCGGAGGACAAGCGAGCCGCTTGGCCAGGAGATGTGCTATAAACAAACGGCGTTGGTTTCCTTTTGGGGTGGGAACCTTATACAACCGGTCATTGGGTCATGGCTGTGTTTTAGAATTGTTGGAATATGGCGAGTCACTCTCCACCATTGGGGTTTAAGTCTAATGTGGCCAAAGTGCAGGCGCTTCCCCATTTCAATCCACACTCGTATGATCTAACCCCGCATTGATGTTTGACCCAGCATGCTGACCCTGGACTTTGTTTCTTAAAGATCTTAAAGACTGACATGCCGAACACTAGTGATCGGTTGCGGTGTTAGTTTGCGCGAGACTTGTGACCGGGTTGTGTGGATATGTGTGTGTGTTACTGTTTGGGCGGGGGTGGTGCAGTGGCAAAAAGGGTGCCTTGGTTCTGGATGTCCACCACCTGAATGACAACAATGAGAGATCTTCATACAGGATCACCCGATCACCCTCACAGAACTGATGGGGAACTGATGCGGCACTGCTGGTCCCAGAAGCTCATGGTCCAATCATCTCCAACCACCAAACCAAACCTTTTCCATCCTTTTCCTTCACCAGGTGCCCTTTCGTTTCCCCTTCGTTGATGTTTCTTGGTCGCCTTATTCCTCCGAGGAATGCGTGAAAGTGGTGATCCGATGCCGTCCGATGAGCAGACAAGAAGGGATCGACAATCGAGAAAAGATTGTAGACATGGCACCCTGGGCGGCACAGCGTTTCCTCCACAAACCAGTGGTTTTCAGGGTCTATGTGTCTATGTTAGTTTTCAGTTGGGCTACGGGCTACGCGTTTGTTTGTCTTTATTTTTGGCTCGTTGAGGTCTCGTTGCCAGGTTTTCCCGCATTTGTTTTGGTTTAGGTTTGGAAAGCGCAGGGCCACGCCAGATTTACTGTACATCTGAAGTGCTCTTTGGTGCTAATGCTACGGCGTACGATAGTTTCATATAGTTTCGTTTTCTCGGAGAGTGTCTAATGAATGGCACAAAATTGAGCTTGCCCAATTGCTCAAGTCTTGGGTTGCTATGCACATACCCACCGCTAAAGACGGCAGACATCCAGTCAGACCGGTGGTTCAGGTAATTCGATGTTGTTGGAGTCAATTGGACTGTAACGTTCCTCAGGAGAAGTGGCACATACAAGCCCAGGCACCCAAGATATGTCCGCAAATATGTCAAACATATTGCCCCGACTGGTAAGAACCACACACGACTTTTGTCGTGTGGAGTTGCGTCGTCCCCCGTGGAACCATCAAATCAGTCGATGTTTGGCTAGGGGTTCAACCAGAAAAACGCCGGGGTCGCCATGCCATGACCCACACACCTAATCGTTAGGCTCCGATGGTCAAGGCCTCAGATGTGTTTTGCCACTAGTACGTAGTACTGGGCACCACCACTTGCTCGGACATGGATCCAACATGATCGATGCTTGATGTTTTTCACTAGTCAAACCCTCAGGGTCAGTTGAGACTCATTGATAGCTGATTGATTGATTGAGACTAGCAGTCAACATCACTCGTTAGTTGAGTCTATATATATATAACCTATAACCTTTACTACACATTTTTCCTGACGGACCCAAACGATCGGACTTGGGTGACGTCTCAGCTATCAATCAGTTTCACTACGGTCCCATAATGGGACAGCAGCACATATATCTAGCGCGCTTCGGAATGTGCACCTGCTGGTCATTCCGAAGAAGGCCACCTGTCCTTCTTCCCCATTTTCTTGGCTACCTTTCTTCCTCTCAAGGGTTTGGTGAGGACTCACTGGACTCAGAGAGGGTATTCTGAGGACATCAAGAATGGCGGTGTGCGTGTGAGAAGGCCCGGCACCAACGACTACAAGGACTTCACCTTCGACGCGGTCTACGATGAGACTGCCGTGCAGTCGGACTTCTATGAGCACACGGGCTACGCCATTGTAGGGAAGCCTAGTCAGACATAGTCAGACCATGTCAGACCCAGTGGGTGGTGTCAGATTGTCCGTTTTTTTCGGGGAGAAACATGAATCATATTCAATCAGGACTACAGGAAGAAGGATATTTCCTTTTCTGATAGGGACTACAGGAAATGCTTTATGCACTGCCATTGTCACCACGAACCTGAAAGGCTCTCCTCCACAGGTAAAGTGAAGAACAAGATGTGTTCTCCTGCAATCTAGGATTGCTGGGGGGGGAGTGCATGAGGATTTGAACTCCTTAGTCTTCCCAAGCTTCACAAGAGAGCACTTACACAGCAGTCTCTCTCCAAGGTAGGGACTGGTCACAGGTTTCTTTTATACAGCCTGCCTGCTTGGTAGGCTTAAGGGGGAATCACCTGGAACATGCAACCACAGACCCATACACATGGCTGACCCGTATGTGTCCGAATCTGCCCAGTACCATATTAAAGTATGGGAAGGTATATGATATTGCTTCCGAGAGCAATGTAGGACTTAGCTGATGGCATGTGGATCCAGATTCGCGCAGAGCGTTGGCACGCCCGAGCGTTGGCAGCCCAGGTGGAAAGTGCCTCAGGCTGCAGGTAAAGGTGATGGCCAAAGGTTCATATACACAGACAAGTTGGACATGGAGCAAGAGAAAGGGCGAGAGTAACAGAGAACGAATGTTGCCATGGAGACATCTATTGATGTTCTCCGTTCAACGCTGACTTTACATTCAAAGCTTTCACCGAACATGGCTGAGGATCTAATTTGCCAAGCACAGCTGCTTTGATGAAGCCTTGTAAGCCTACAGTAGGAATTCAAAAGGCTGAAGTCATTTAGCAGGCATAGACCCTCTAGTCCAACAAAGACATGTCACATGTCGCATCAAAAATCCGCATCGATCGCAATTAATTATTCTACCATTATAGACCATAATTGTATGTATAGTTTAATTGCCAATGGAAGTGTAGCAGGGACAGCATAATAGAATCTAGGCAAGCTATTGGTTAACATATAAATTAGATAAGACCTTGATGTCCTTCTCTAGTTTCAACCTTCCGAAGTCTCGGACTCTCGATGCGCCCACAAGGTGTCATGGATGGCTACAACGGCACCATTTTCGCCTATGGCCAGACAGGCACTGGGAAGACCCACACCATGGTCGGACCTGCGCATCCGGAAGCAGAAGAGGAGAAGGGCGTGATCCCCCGCGCCTTCGGGCATGTCTTCCGGAGCCACGATCGAGTGAGAGCGTTCTCAAACGGGTCAGGGCGACAGGCCTTTTTGCGTCGTCCGGGTGGATGAAACGATTGCAACTTAGGGAACAAATGTGCATGTACTGTGGGATGTGTCAAAATGTGTTGAGCAGGTATAAGGTTTCTTTTGAGGTTTGAGTTTGCAGAAACGGTCGAAAAACCGTGTGGTTTGGGTATGTTTGGGTCCAATACTGGGTGGGCAATGGTGGAACCATGTGGAACCTTTACACCTGGACAGCTGGGACATCAGCTGGAGAAACACATCGAACATAAACACTTGCTACTTGTTCAGCTGTCATCATGGGCAGATGTTTGTCCTGCAGCGTAAGCCGCATTTTGGCGGGACGTGTTGTTTTCCGATGTAGAGCAGCTAAGGAGAGGAAGATCCTTTTGGTTCCGGTTTTGTGTAAGCAACCACCCATGCTAAAGCAGGTACGCAGGGGTCTAGGATTTCTAGGAACTTGCAACATCGAACTGAGCCAGCTCGTCTTGGGTGCCGGGGTGGAGATGAGCCACCAGTGACATTCCCAGGAATGTGGACGTGGGTGGTAACAAGACCTTCCTGGTTCGGGCATCCTATATGGAGATCTACAATGAAGAGCAGCATGGCTGCAGGATGGTGACCGGCACGTGGCCTTAGCCAGGGACCACCGGGAGAGTTTGCGACGGATTCTTTTACAGGATTAATGTGAACTTCCCAATCATGAACCATGTGTCAATAATAATATGCCTAAGAAGGGGGGGTTTACTATTGAGAGGTTAACATTTTAGGTCGAAGACTTAGGGACAGCGATTTGGAGTTGTTATGGCCTGTAGCCCGCAAAGCTTATCAATGCTTTCTGCATGGGGCCCTTCTTTTCGTCTCCAGGCACGGACGTTGCCCCTGCGATCTTCCGCGGGATTCCTATCAAAAAGAAAATTGATTCCTATCAAAAAAACAAAATATGTCGTATCAAAAATAGAATTCCCCCTACTCCTTTGGTCCTGGTTTGCTGGTTCCCTGGTCACTTGGTCCTTTGGTCCCTTTGTCCTGGTCCCTTGGTCCCCTGCTCCCTTGGTCCCCTGGTCCCTCTGGTCCCTTGGTCCTCTGGTCCCTTGGTCCTCTGGTCCCTTGGTCCTCTGGTCCTTTGGTCCTCTGATCCTTTGGTCCTTCGTCCTGGTCTTCATGTCCTTGGGTCTGTACTTTCGAGGTGATTTGGAAATCTGGTCATACATCCTGTGACGCACCGTCGCAGACCTTTTATCGCCAGACATAGCAGACCTTTTTTATGAGCCACCCTGACGCTAAAATTTAGACGAAGAAAAGTCGAATTTTGTGAACCATGATTTACCCCTAACTTGTCATGCAGGTTCACATGTACAGTCTAGGTCGTCGTTCGTGAACTTCGTCTCACTCGATGCCCATTATGGCTCAAGAAAAGTGCACGCCGCTGCGCTTTTCAGCTCGCGCACGTCGATCGTTTTCGACCACCGCCGCTTTCGCTTTCGTGCCTTCGTCGTTTGCCGTACCGAGCTCACTTCGTTCGCACGCCGGCACCCCTGCCCACTACGGGGACTAAGCCTTCCGGGGTCCCCCGTCGTGTGCCAACACACCTGAGGGTTCTTCATACCATCGGGTATCTTTCATCCACACTACCCCTAAATCGGTTGTGGTGGTTGTTCACTGATATCCCGGAACCCTTATCCATTTCATTGGTTATCAGCCGTAGGTCTAACCAACCTACGAGCTCTAATAGTCCGACCCTAATATATTCATCAATGCCTAGAGTGACACCCCCCCCCCCCTAGGTCTCCCCGCTCGGAGCCGGCGCAAGCCGCAGCCTCCGGCGCGGATTCGTCAGTAGGGCCAAGTGTCCCTGCCGAAACGCAAGCCGCTGCTCCAAGCGCGGATTCGTTAGGCGTGAGAGTAGGCGTTGATGCTCCGGAGTTGGAGGTGACATCGCTCTCCCATTTGGGCGAACAGGGCGCCAGTGCCCTCGAGCTGTTCGTAGAGCCGTTGGATCCTCCAGCCGCTGCCGCAGGCGCGGGCACCGATAGTTCGAAACGTGGTAGTGCTGCATCCTCAGCAGGTTCGGGTCCAACAATATTCCCGTTCTCTGACATTGAGATCGACCGCCGTGAAGTCGAACTAGAGGAGCCCTTCGCCGGTCCGGACGTCGACTGGGACGGACAAGACCCACCAGGCGAGGGTGCTGCTGCTGTATGCGCGGCACCCGTCGACCCTGGTGGAGAGACCATTCCTGACTCCTCGGATCAAGTCCATCCGGACCCCGAGCATTCGTTAGGCAATACCCAAGCCGCCTCCGCCGACCAAGACCTGCCGGTCCCGGTGGAGAAGAGTTCGAATTCCCTCAACCTCGTAGACCAAGACCAACCGGTCCCTACGTTGGACGAGCCTGAAGAATTCGTTCCACCTGAACGCTTGATTGCACAGGCTTCGTCTACCCCACAAGGTCCGCCTGTCCCCACTAGTAATAATTTCGATCCCCTCGGAGACGACGAAGAATCAACCGTTGAAGATGAGGAGAACGAAGAGATTGCTCGACGGATCCAAGAGCAGTACGACCTCGAGGCTGCCCTGGAAGCCACTGCAGTTGAAGCCGGTGTCGAGCCGGAGCCTGCAAACGTCGAAAGTGGAGGACAACAGCCGGAGAGTGAGGGTGGTGAAGCCGCTGCTTCAAGCGCGGGACAGGGAGAAAGGGATCGCACCCGCAGGAGGGGTTGCAGAGCCGGGGCGAAGCACGTCCCTGGACGAGAAAACCTCGCCTATGGGAAGACTTCCGAATACATCGTCGCTCAACTAGGTGCTTCGACCTATGCACGGTTCGGCAGTCGTTTCCATCTCCCACACATCCCACCTAAGGTGGCCCGCAAGCAATACCAGGATTGGTTCGAGTACGTCACTCGACACTCCGACAGGTGGGCGTTTAGAACGGACGGGGAATTGCTGCCAGTAGACATTATCCTTCAATGGGCTACCATGCTACCCGAGCTGTGGCAGTTCCTCTACTCCATCAACCCCGCTTTACTACAAGGTATTCGTCAACCAAGATGTAGGTTACCCAAAGGGCCGGGCCATCCCTTCGTGCCGCTTCGCCGCGTGCGTTCAGCCGAAGCTAAGATCGCGCCACCAAAGTCAGGGTCCGATTTGGGTTCCAAAGCCTCATCATCCGCCGCTCCCCCTCGCACCGATCGGTCTCGGTCTGCCGCACCTAAGGCATCTACAGCCGCTCAGGCGACCACCGGTCCATCAACTGCTGCCGGGGGTTGGCGTCCAACACTTGATCGTAGCCACATTCCGGTCGTGCTCAAGCCTCGTGCCGAAGTTGAAGCCAAGATCAAGTCAAACAAACCGAAGTCAGAGGCCGCTGGCCCAAAAGCCAAGCAAGCCGCAGCCTCTGGCGCGGGCACTTCGACACCTGCTAGTAAACCTGCATCCAGTAGTCCGACTACTAAGGTAACGCCAGTTGCTAATCCTACAAGTGCCGGACCTGCATCGTTGAAAGCGGGGAGTCCATCCGTCGAAGTGTCCAAGACATCGTTGTCTCTTCACCTTCCCCCCCACCAAAAGGCCCAGCACCATTGCCTCCACAAGGTCCTACACCTGAAGTCAGTCCATCATGTGTTGTCCCACCTGCCGCCGCAGTGAGAGTGTCACAGGAGCGACCTGACAACACAGGCGAGGAGGAGGAAGCCGGGTTCGAGGTGGAGGAAGAGGTTGAGGAGCAAGGGGCTGCCTCTCGCGAGGCGCCCGCCTCCGACCAGGACCATTCATCACCGAGTGCAAAAGCCGCTGCCTCTGGCGCGGTACCAGTCCGACCGGTCGTCATGACCCCAGGTCCTGGTGCATTCCTGCACCGACATTTGACGCCGTTTCGCCTGCGCAGGACCCAATGGGACCGTGAGCACGAACCGTCAATGCCGATTGAGGAGGCCCAAGATCGAGTCTACGACTTGGACTGGTCGCACACCCCTCAGACCGAGGGCGGCCAGCTATTGCCCCCGTCATCCACCATTCAAGTCGGCCCGAATGCAGACGTATATGAACTTGATGCTGAAGACTCGGACAATTCCGACCCTGAGGCTCGTTCTCGCCGCATCCGCAACCTTGAAGGTAGGACTGAAGAGGCTGGTTGGCTCACCTGGCTTGACGGTGAACGTCCTGGGGCTAGCCAACCTAGTCACCCGAAACCTCAACTTGCCGAACCAGCATCTAAGCGGGTCCGTGTTGTCGTAACCGCCGATGCACTAAGAGGAACGCCCCCAATAACGCCTCCTCATGTTCGACAAGTGATCGTAGTCCCTAAGGGTAAATCTAAGAGTGCAACAACTGCCGACAGGCCTAGAGTGCCCATCATTGAGCCTCAGCTTTCGTTGGCAGTTGACCCGGTGTTCGTTCCAGCGGTATCGCCACAGCCGCCGCCTTCGGCGCGGGATGTGTCGCCACCGGTCCAAGCACCTATTGCACCGCCAATTGCCAAGTCCCCTGTTGTCAAGACGCCGAGGTCTCGCAGTGCGCCACCGTCCATGGTGCCAGTCCATTCGTCCTCCGCGTCGCCACAAGCACACGGACCGCCCTCGAAGGCACGTCCGGTTCGCTCAAGGTCTCCCCCGACCAAGGTGAAGCCCCCGCCGCCGGAAGCGAGACAATTGTCTGCCGAAGCCAAGCGGCGAGCTTTCGAAGCCTTTGAGGAGCGCAACCGACCTGTGCATGTGGAGACAGACAGCACGGGCAAGCCGCTGCCAACTGGTGCTCGCGTACCAGTAGGCGCGGGACTCACCGCTGCCGCCCCGTCCGATCCAACCCCACCAGGGGATGGTGACGACGACCAAGGCGAGCCTTCGATCCCAAGACCTAAGTCTCCTGATCGACCACCTAGCCAACATCCTGCATCGGGGCTCCCGTTCAAGACCCCGCCAGGTTCGTTAACCGGAAGATCAGCCTCTTGGGAGCGAGATCCAAAGCGACACTCTGAAGCAGTTCCTCCAAAGCCGGTAACGCCGAAGAGGAAACCGCCACCACCTAATCCATACCCTTACCCCTATGGTAAGCCAGCTGGTGTTCCATCCGTTCCCCATGACACCGCATGGGCTTCGCAAGCTGCCTCTTCGTCAGCCGCGCCTCCAGTGCTGGATAATTCGTGGTGGTCCTCAACGGCTGCTTCAGGCGCCATCGATTCCGAGGAGCAGCCATCAACCGGCGGAAGACTTGCCCCGCATAGACCTCCATCCGGTAGTCCTGCCTCGGATACGCCCCGGAGTGTCCAACCTACTACAAGATACCAACCTAACCCGTTGCCCCGGTTGTTCGGGCAACAGTTGGCAGACCCACTCACCCTAATCCCAGCTCAAGCGGGCGTCTTTGAGGTTGGCCTCGACTGGCACAAAGTTCTAGATACGATGCTTTCGCCGGTACGTACCCCAACGACCCTCCTCACAGACCGCCTTAAACAGCTTGAATCGCTTCCTGCTCGAATTACAATTATCTCCTTCACGGGCGCGGGCGACCGCTACGACTCGACCATACAGGAGATAGATTCGTTTAGGGACCAGTGCCGCGCGTCGGGCTGCCAGATGGGTGGCGGCTTCTTCTTAACAAA